GGCCGGGGAGCCGCAGGGTGACAGCCACCGCGCTGTCCCTCCCCGAGCCTGACCTGCCGTGCGGGTCCCTCGGTCCATCGCTCCCCGGTGGGCTGTAGCTTTATGCAGCTCCTCCTTGACACTTGCCATTTCCAGGTCCGCGCTTTGCTATCCTGGGTGTAAACGCGGGTAATATTAGCGATAGACATCACCGAAACCGAGCTTTTTTGCAGGCACAAATACACGTACGGTCTGGACGGGGATGACGCTTCTGGCGGGTGGCAGGAGGTTTTTCTGTGACAGATCTTCCCAAGCCTGATGTATAAATCATTTTCCTTCAAAATGTAGTATTTCATTTTGGGGAAATGAACGCTCTCTGAAATAAACTAGTCTGACAACAAGCAGAAAAACGTTTTCAGATTTATACACGTTCTTATTTTCTTTCTTCTGGGGGGGTGGATGTGAACTGCTATTTCAAGAAAGCTTATGGTAGTGGCAAATCAGGTACACGGCAGGCTGGTACATACAGGACTACTCTAAATACATTTCACTTCCCAGTAAGATGCAAGATAATTAGATTTGCCTGTTCATTTGAAGAATAAAACCCCAAAGCCAAGACCTCTGAAACCCTGCATCTTTGTTCTAAGAAGCGAGATAGGTACATCTCATTTCCAACACAATTTGTCACCTACCTTGAGGGTAGGAAGCGAAAGTCCTAAAATAGCTAGAATTGCACGTATGATAGGGACTATGGAAAACTGATACTGGTAAACTTGTAGACATCACTAGCAAAATCCCTCTCTGTGAGAAAAGAAAGCCTAATTTTTTCTTCTCTCCCAACCTCAATACATAAGGTTGAAGCTGCATAGACAAATATCATTTAGGTGCCGTTAAAAGGGTTTTATATTCCCTAAAAATAAAATAAAAAAAAAAGCATACAAAATTTGCTCCACATTGCATAGAATGCATAACAAATTCAGTACGTAAGTATAATGCGTGTAACCTGGATATATTCTTTTCTGGGCAATGTCGTCTTCACATTTCCCTGCATTTTAAACATAGATGAGCCTGTTGAGGTACGTATCATTACACAGTACTCCAGAAGAGATTTTTCACATGTCCGACTGTTTTTTCCATTGGAAAGATGTACTGAGTCTTTTGGCAAACGGGCTTTTTCTTACTTCTCTATCTGTAATCAGTGGCTACGTTTCCCTTTTCTAATTCCAGTGCAGCCACAGCCCTTCTAAAGCAACAGCTGTAGGAAAAAAAAAAAAAAAAAAGTCTGCCCTAATAATTTCTCAAGCGACAACTACCACAGGAGAGTACTTATATCATTGCGTGCATCAAATCTTCTCTTCATGATTGTCTAAAATTCATTAAATATTAATGTCACCCGGTGTGAGAAACATACAAATCACAATGAGGGCATCAAATAACAATTTAGGCATCCAAATAACAGCAGGGAACTTGCTAAAATACTCTGAAAATGGAAAAAGTTTCATGTCCTTTATAAAATGAAGACAAGAGGCGACAGCAACTGAACTTCACGCTCAATCCCTGCCATAACTCATTCAGTCAATAAGAATATATAAAGAAATCATACCTAAGGCAGGGCAGGTACAGAGCAACACACAGAGATTTGTTACACGTGTTTACTTTTCCAGTGAAAATAAATAAATACAAGGTGTGATCACCACTAAAGCACCTTCCAATTCGGCCTAAAACTTACCTCTGAAACAACATCTACAGCATGAAAATATCATCTGTGGGGTGAGCTCATGTGGTCCGTGACTCTTTCATGGTAGCGCCAGTGTTGGAGTGAGGAATTTGTCCGTCTTTCTTGCTTGAAACACCTGCTGAAATGGGACTCTAAGCCTCCCCGTACAGGGCCGTTGTCTGTCTCTGAGTCTCCCAATGCCCTGGGATTCCCTATCTCCCCTCTCATCGGGGAAGAGGGGAGATGCTTGTCGTTAGCAGCAACCTCCCTTTCCTCCTGATACCGATAATGGTGACATGTCATGAAGGAAGATCACTCTCTCATTTAAATCTCTCATGAAGTAAAACCCAGCCTGGGAGGGAAATATGCCATCTTAATCCTCCCACCTTGGTTTCACCCATTCAGTGCTACAGGTATGGTATTTGTCTCGGCTTTTTACCTCTCCCTTACCCTATCTCCCAAGTCTATCTTATCAGCATCCTTTCTGGTTGTAATGCCACATTAAGTACAGTTTCAAGGTGGTTTTTTTCGCCTTTTGCATCTCTGTTTGAAGAGTTCCTTACTTTTCCAAGCAACATTCAAAGCTGTGGTAATGTTAGCAAAATCAGAGGGTCACACTGAAAACCGTGTCCTGCTATGGAATATGCACAGCGACTTTGTTATATGCCAGCAGTTAAAACAGAAGTCATATCATAAACAAAACTTACCTCTTTTGCGTAAGCATTACATGCTATCAGTTGTTATTGAAAGGATACGTTCGTTAGTTCTGTTTATTGGTCAGCCTGGGCTCATCCAGCTTGGCAGAGCGGTAGCTGTTCACAAATACCAATTCATATGTTATTCGGCACTTTCTCCAGTGATGCTGTCTCAGCGGTCAGCCATTAGCTGGTCGTAATAAAGGTTCAATTTAGCACCCACCTAAAAAGAAAAAAAAAAGCTTTATGGTTAACAATAGTAACAGTGAAGAAGATGGCGGTGGTCACATTCACATCTCTCTTCATGATCATCAGTTTTACTGGCAAGTCACAATCGCTAGAAAGCCCATTCTTCATGGGCTACAGAATTCTTCCAGAAGCGGAGGAAGGTGCTGAGTCACTAAAATTCACACATATTTTCTTTCGTTTAGGAAATTCACTCTTCTAGGTCTTGGGCACAGGCCTTCCTTAGGGTCCCTTACAGCGCGAGAAAGTGAGCAATAAACATGCTACATAGGAACATGTATACATCAGCACTGGGAGTGTCTCCGCTTTTATTAGTCTTACGTTGATACGCATTATTTTAACACAGTTTCTTTGTATTTATGAGAACATCTCAAAATAAAGAAATGTCTCTGATAGCCTCCAAAGCAGTGTTTATCTAAATTGGCACAACGCACTGATTCCAGTTCCGGTTTGCTAAATGACCATGCATTCACAAGGCACTGAAAGTGAGCTTACACCATTTCTATTGATATTAACATTTTACTAAAGGTAAGGAATTCTCCACCCAATAACTTAGAAAATGAAAAAGAAGGTCACGCACATCTGCCGTAGTTGGAGGCGCAGGTCCGATAAGCTTCAACCCTGCGAATTCTTGCAGAGAGACCTGGAATTTAGGAAAGTATTTTATTATCATTGTGCATTAGCACACAGCAGTCGGGAAGCTCTGTGGTAACTCGCAGGATGATGACGGAGACATCGCACTTTCCTGCAGGACGGTGGATGGGAGTCACCCTACTGTTGATCCTTCAGTGGCCGATCAGGTCTTTGCAGTTCAGTCGTACTGAGCTGGGCTGCAGACTTTCAAATGCTTATTATGCATTGTTCATACACTTCTGTGCTTAATCATGTTTTAAATTTAGGAGTATCTACCAGTGCAAACAAACTATTTCTCACAGGGACTCTTTGCCTACAAGAGGTAACGTTAATAAACCTCGAGACTGGCCTGAGTGTATCAAAGAGGTGCTCCTGACGAAGCTCCCCTACTGCAAAATATTCAGAAAGCTAAATGGATGTAAATGAGGTCTGGAGACCACACTAAAAGGTTTTAAAACTGTAACAGGATTAAAAATGGCATATGGTCAAAGTCCTTAAATAAAAGGAAAGTACAAGAAAGTATCTAAAAGTTACAGTGAGACGTACTTGAATAAATGTTTATAAATTTTATCAAACAACTCATCATTTTGACAGTTTTCCATAAACCCCTGGAACATGCAAAGCATTTAATTTATTTGTGGCAAGATAAAGATAATGAGTAACATTTTAAAAGTTTATTAACATAGAATGTCCTGGCACAGTCAAACTTGCGTACTTCTATTGTTTAAATTATATTTTCTAAGAACTTAAAAAATTCAGCCTTACAAAAGGGAGTTTCTTGTTGCAAAAGTCCTCAAAAGGATCCTCCTCATCTGTATTCGTACAAATGCAAACCAAAGGAACAGGGCATAAACTAAACTGGTTATAAATGCCACCCGTACCTCAAACTGAAAAATACTTCTATGCAGCATAAAATATCGCTCCGATATGGAGACAATGGACTGCTGTCCATATCAAATATGCTAAAACAACAAAAAAAGTAAATTATAACAGAAATGCTGATGCCGTCTTAACTATGGGATTCCCAGCAGAAGCTATTCAAGAGGCCATAGGCCAAGCAAACAGAATGAAGCAGCATATGCTTGTATTCCTTTTTGTTACTTTGCTGCTGTAAATAGTTTGTCTTACAGAGATAATAAAAATTATGTTGTGTGAGTTATGTGTTTTTGTGTTAGGTTTACCCTTGAACATCTGCTCTGTCTGATAAAGGATAAGAGCTAATGAAATCACATGAAGAGTGACATGCACGAGGCACTTCTTTGTTTTCTATTTGCGAGACAACCCAAAACCTGCATTTTCCCTGGTTGCCGTACTACCTAATAAATGCAACAAACAAGGAGTACTCTAGAAACCTTTTATAAAATGGAAGATTGATGATTGCAGATGAGGATGGACCCTCTCTGTACTAGAGAGCACTGCTCTGCATGCGCAGAAATTCTTGATCCCACCCCTTGACCCCCCAAAAAAAGAAGACATGCTTATTGTGACAGATTTTTTCCCTCCAGCCAGGATCCAGTTCAAAAGCAGCTGCCCCTATCAAGCACAGAAAGGCAACGGCTCGCAGTTTTGCTAAAAGACAAGTTTCCAACAGCATGCACCCTGTAAGATCATCGCTTCACCTACTGAGACTCTACCCTGAGAGTTCATTCCTCCTGCCGCTGTTCCTGTTTTACAGAAGAATTTCTCCCAGGACTTTTTTTTTTTTTTTTCCAACTGACAACGTAAAGGTGTAAAAAACTCAAGAGGTGAGGTTTGAGGAATGAAATACGCCGAGTTGGAGTCCTCCTCTCCTTCACGTGGGTGCCCTC